GGGAAGGAAAATAAAAAAACGTGTAAAATCAAATATCAATCATTTATTATTTTTTCTGTTTCACAAATCTTGTTCAAATTGTTCTTCTATTCTTCGGATCAACTCCTCCCTTGTTCCAACTTCTGTCGCGTAGACGAGTGCTTTTGCACGTCCCCAGATGTAAAAGTCCGATGGAGTTATGTCTGGGGAGCGTGCAGGCCATGGAATAGGACCATCTCGTCCAATCCACGCATTCGGAAAAACATCATTTAGATGTTCCCGCACAATTAGCCTCCAGTGTGCAGGACAGCCATCATGTTGGAATCCAATTCGTCTGTCGCCATTGAAAATTGGCACCTCATTCACCAATTCGGGCAACTTATTTTGCAGAAAATGTAGATAATTATCTCCGTTAAGACGATCTGGCAAATAATGTGGCCCAATCACATGATTGCCAATTACTTCTGCCCAAACATTCACACTGAATCTTCTCTGAAAGGAGCTTGGCCTCTTCACTCTTGGGTTCTGATCTTTTGAATGAAGCCCAATGGTGCAGATTGTGCAAATTTAGTATCCCGTCCTTGGTGAGTTTGGACTCATCCGTCCACAGAATACTTGTCAAAAGTCCGGATCGTCCACGTCTGTGTGCAGCAAGAAACGACAAAACCGGACGCGGTTGTCGAAGTCATTGTTTTCAAGACCGGCAATCAAAAAAATACGGGTAACAAATCAAGTTGAAGAAATTATTTTGTCTGGGTGTAACACTTTTAATGTCACTGAGTATACATAGACAGAATAACTATGGCATCATTCACAACTCACCTCGCCAGTCTGGTGTCTTTGCTCAGAAAGCCTCAAAGATAAAATTCCATTCATATGTTGACTTATACTGAGTCAAGCATTTTTCGTAGGGCGCTCTATTAGGAGTTTGATGAGTCTTGTAGCTCATATTCTTCTTACAACTCACGAAATACCCCTTATTGCCTTGAAAGAATCTGGATTTCCATATTTGATAATAATAGATATTATTATGGAATTGTATATTTTATAGAGTTTCTGTCACACTTTGTGACACTTAACTTGCACTTAGCATCATATCTCTGAAACGGGATGAATCTGAACCAGATCCAAATCAAATGCGTTACAAGTAGCAAATGATATTGAAGGAATGTTTGGTACGTTAACAGTTTTGTTCCAACGCATCGTCACAATCTTACATTGCCAAAGGCTACAAGCGAAACTACATATGAAAATTGCCTCCAATGGTTTTCTTTTGAACATAGTTTAAGGAGCGCAATTTTGGGAAAAATACCAACGCTACAGTGTTGTATCATACGTAACCGAGACAAAACCTTAGACACTTTTTTATTTTTATTTCGATTTTTTGGTTAATGAGAACTTTAAAAACTTCAAAAAGTGTTTTTTGCGTTACTTTTCCAATCAACATGATGAATTTTTGCTCCGAAACTCGCCAAAAATCAAAAAAACAGCATTTTAAACGTAAGATATCATAAGCTCGCTAAAAACTCAACGAAGAAACATATTTTTGTCCATTGTTATAGGTTCCACAATCAAAATTTGATTTCTTTCTTGGGAAATGCGAAAATCAGATAAACCGCATTTTCGCTGATTCTCATATATACACCTAGTGATGCCTTTGGTCGGGAAATAAATACTTGGCCAACCCAGCAACCCACTATATGCATTATTTAACGTTGTTTCCAGTTACGTTTTTAAAATAATGATTTCTTGTCCGCTAAACTTACAAAAATTTTCAAAAATAGATATATTTACAGTAGGACTTGACTTACTCCAAAGTTCAATTCACGTATCTACTTTTGTGCATTCTTTCAGGTTTCATTATCGAAATTGTGGTTTGTTGCCCTGAAAATGGGATAAGCCTCAATTTCACTGAAGTTCTACAATTTTCGGTCTGGAAATGAAGATATAGGTAACATTTGCTGTGAACTAGAATTCTTCTATGCATGTTTCAGTACCGTTGTCAAAATTGTGTATTTCTTATCCGAAAGCGCCACAAATCGGAGAAACCACATTTTCCCAATTTTGGACATTTCTGGAGTTCGTTAACTCAACAACTCAATACACATACATATGTATTCTAGTGCATTCTTCTAGCTTTTGTTGTTGAAATTGTGATTGTTTTTCGGAAAATTGCGAAGATAGGAAGAGCCACATTTTTGCTGATTTTCTTCACCTTTTGTGGCAGAGGTCAAATATGCCGTTTCGGCACTGTACTCTTTCTATGTTGTACAAGAGAAGGAATTAGTCAAGTACATAACTCAGTTCTTGATCACAAGGTTAATGACTTATGATTTGTGGAAGAAAGATGAATAAAACGGATGCAGAAAGTCAAGCTACCAATAAGATTTCACACTTAGTTTTAAATACCACCTCTCAACCAATTAAACATACCCAAGATATGTTATCCTTTTTCTGAGGAATCCAAGTGATATAATCACAATCCAGATGAAAAGTAGCCGTCACATGTGTCACTTATTGCGTTACAGGTTTTGCTCTTTGCTATGACTGTATCATTTTGAAAAAATAAATTTGATTCAGATAAGATACTTCAAAGAACTTTAGTATTGCCTTCAATTTAGAGGTTATGTGAATGAATACGAGAGTACATTTTTCGTGTTTCCATTTTTTATACATTCCTTGTCGTCTATTTTCACAAAGTGTCTACACCAAATAGCCAATTGAGCTTATTTGTGATTTCTCAAAAGATGAGAAAGATGTGCTGAATTTATCTCAGATAAAATTAATGCTCTAATCAAAATGACAGAATACAGAAAATGTCGAAAAATGGCATGTGCTTGTCAGACCGCTATAATAGTAGGAATTCTACCAACTTAATCGATTGTAAAATCTACCTAAATTAACAATGAAAGTAATGAATATAAAATAATATACATGCACGACTTTACCGATGCGCATCGACCGTGGTCGTGTAATCGTTAATGGAATATTTTTCTGTGATTTCTTCGCATACACTCGATTGAATCACAAAAGCTTCAAAGCTTTTCGTCTTTGCCATGAAGCTCTGTATTCGCTGTCTCCATAGTCTTTAATCAAGATTACATACAGGGTGTTTCAGTTTATTGTTGCATAACTTTAAGATTCGATATAACTTTTAAAATTAATGCATAAAGTCTATATAAACATGGGTCGAAAAAAGCGTGGCTTCCGAAATACAGGGTGTTTAAATTTACTTTCTAAAATAGTTTTTTTTTAAATATTTCGAACAATATTTGATGTATAACAGTGATAATTGGTATACAAGGGTTTTTTGGTATGAAAAAACGAAACGAACCATGGGCATAGTTTTACAGTAGCCGCTAGAGGGCGCTCTCTACTGTACCTGTAGTGTATTGAAATGACCGAAAATTTTTTCTTAGTGCAATTTTCTGCTTTTTGAATAAAAAACTGATTCTTCGCACTTTTCAACATAAAAAAGCTCTCTTGTGAATTTTCGTTATAGTTAGTTTGTAAGAGTGCATCGCCAAATAATTGAAAATGGTTTTGGAAATCTCCAAAGGGATCAAAACATAAATGTTCGTCAGCGCAGATTTACCCGCATAATTCTGCGTGAGTTTGATAGAGATCCGACCACAAGTGTTAGGAGAGTTTCTGGTGCCTTGGAAATTTCAGCAAGCCATGTTTACGGTGTTCTTAGAAATGACCATAGACGTCCTTACCATTTGCAACCTGTGCAAGGACTACAGCCAGGGGACGGAGAACGAAGAATCACATTTTGTCAGTGCATTCTTGATAGAACTGATAATAATAGGGAGTTTTTCAGTAACGTTTTATGGACCGCTGAGTCATGCTTCACTAGACGTAGAGTGGTAAATTTTCATAATGAACATATTTGGTCGCATGAAAATCCGCATGCAGTTTGGGAAAGAAATTTTCAGTATGAATTTAGTATGAACGTGTGGATTGGTATCTACCGTAATCGACTATTTGGACCCTACCTTTTGCCTGCAAGGTTAAATGCTGCGACCTTCTTGGAATTTTTAAAGGCCGAACATGCAAATATGTGGGATGATGTTATGTTAGATTTAAGAAGATTGGCCTGGTTCCAGCTTGATGGTTGTCCAGCTCATTATTCGAGAATAGTTAGAAACTGGCTGGACGAAAATTATCCAGAAAGATGGATTGGCCGTGGAGGACCAGTCGCCTGGCCTCCACGATCCCTTGACCTAAATCCATTAGATTTCTTTGTGTGGGGATTTCTAAAAGAAAAAGTGTACCAGACTCCCGTAACCACATGAGATATGCTAATAGACAGAATCAGGAATGCATGTGATGAAATAAGGCACTTTCTGAATAATGCTATACCAAGTTCGATCATTTGTTCAAAATAACATTGGAAAATTAAACAAATTAATATTGTTTTTTTGTGTTTATTTGGAGTTAGGAATTATTGCTGTGTTTAAAAACATAATCTAAATGATCATCTAAATTACTTGTAATGCCCAAATCGAAAATGTAAAAAAATATTATTTTCCCATAAATAATTAAAAATGTATCGAACCTTCGAAATATCTCAAAAACGGCTAACTATAACAAAAACTCACAGGAGAGCTTTTTTATGCAGAAAAGTGCGTAGAATTAATTTTTTTTGTTTAAAAAGCAAAAAATTGCACTAAGAAAATTTTTTCGGTCATTTTAATACACTACAGGTACAGTAGAGAGCGCCCTCTAGCGGCTACAATAAAACTATACCCATGGTTCGTTTTGTCGTACCAAAAAACCCTTGTATACCAATTTTTACTGTTATACATCAAATATTGTTCGAAATATTTAAAAAAAAACTATTTTAAAAAGTAAATTTAAACACCCTGTATTTCGGAAGCCACGCATTTTTCGACTCATGTTTATATAGACTTTATGCATTAATTTTAAAAGTTCTATCGAATCTTAAAGTTATGCAACAATAAACTGAAACACCCTGTATACATATTATTATAATTTGGCAACGCTGTTAGCTTAATGTGTTTATCATGCGGTAATTGATAAATCGCCGACGGAAACGAAGTATGTATTCTAATCGCGTGTTGGGTGTTAAAAATCTGTCGGTATGTCTTAGAAAAATGTCGACAACGTGCGATCTGCTAGAAATATTCCAGAAATCTGTGGAAAGCGTTCAACCAGCCACATTGCTGGAAAACCAGATAAGCGTTACCGAGAGTCATCTCGTCGTGAGAAATGAGTATCACGCACTGGGAAAGCGGTGCCACGTTATAGGATTCGGTAAAGCGGTGAAAGACATGGCGTTGAAAATGGAATCAATACTGGGCGAGAAAATGCAGAGGGCGGTGGTGACGGTGCCAATAGGAATTTTCCGGGAGAGAAAGCCAAGTACCAGGATTGAGTTCATAGAGGGAGCCAAGAATAACCTGCCGGATAAACTTTCCATGGGCGGCGCGTTGAGGATAAAAGAGCTGGTTCAGACGTTGGCGGAGGATGATATGCTTATTGTGTTGGTATCAGGTAATTGTCTGACCTAACGGGCGTAAAGTTATCGTAAATGTAAGACAACATAGGAAGTAAATCATGCTGTTACCCGTATTACACAGTTTAAGCATCTTAAGGAGTATGAAAGGCAACACTGTATCCATTGCATTAAAGGAAAAGCTCTTGTAAGGTCCAGTTATGTTCTGTTGGCGCTAACCACTCAATAAACAGAAAAGTGGCGTCACAGACTCTAAAGTCAGCAACCTAATACTAGATCTGCCTCTGGAGAGCTGGAACTAGAGATGTTACATTCCAGCTTCAATATAGAGTAGCCGTGTCCCAGAGCTAATAAGAGAATAAATATGGCAGCGATAGTGGTGCCAATAAAATTTTCCTTATAATTTTCTGACGGAAAACCCCTTGTTGGGGCAAGTACGTGCAGATTGAGTTAATAAAGATAGCCTGCCGGTATATATTACTGAGAAATAAACAGAAATTAAACATTTGTTTGTCGGAAGTGATTCATTCATTTTTATGTGCTGGTTTTGACACTTCATGGCCTTCAATTTTCACTTGGAGGCATAAAATTATATTTTTTAAGGATATTTCAGTTGAAAATAATATATAAAAAAATAAAGTCAAGTTAATATCTTGATTCTCAGTGGACACTGAATCAAGAAATTAGACTTATACTGCTCAGTGTAAAACCAGCATTTTACAAAATAAGGGAATTCCATTTTATAGTATTAGTAGTTTAAATAATTGTAGATGCTAATTTGTGAAACAAATGAAGTTGTTCCTATTTGTGTTTTAGGAGGAGGCTCGGCGCTTCTACCATTACCTATTCCACCAATAACTTTACAGGAAAAGCATGATCTTATTAAACAATTGGCCAGAAAAGGTATGCGAGTAAATTACATAAGCTTAAGTTCATAAGGTCATCTAAAGGTTAATCACTGATTATTATTTGACATAGCGTGAAAAACACATATACTTTTAACTGTTAAAACCTATCTATTTTATCCGACTTGTATCTTAGCTTGGCAAACTCAACGATTAAATTAACTTTCAATCAAAAATAATAAGATAAAAACCTATGTATCAGTTTGGCTGCTAAGATTCACATACTGCGATGATAGTTATAAGATTTAAAGTAAATTATGACTGAGTGTGAACGTTGTTAACATTTTGAATCTACAATTTGATATCTTTAGGAGCTACCATCAACGAGTTGAACTCAGTGCGAAAGCGGATGTCAGTCCTTAAAGGTGGTGGATTGGCAGAATTAGCATATCCTTGCAAAGTTGTGACATTGGTCCTTTCTGATGTTATTGGCGATCCACTGGATTTCATAGCTAGTGGACCAATGGTACCCAACAGCGATAAACCACAGCTGGCTATAGATATATTAAAAAAATATGAGTTACTTGATGGGATATCCAGTTCAATCCAAACCGTCTTATACGGAAAGAAGGACCTGTTGGCAAATGTACCTATTAAAGAGGGGCAGTATGCTCATGTGGACAACTACATCATAGGTGCGTTTTTATGTTTATGGATTTATAACTATAGCAGACATAGTACAGATGACTTTGTCTGTCATCAGTAGCATTGTGGTCGCTATAGTCCAGTACCAACATGGAGAAGGTAGTATAACTCATTGTATGTCTCTGTTAACGAGGTCCTTGTGTACAGTCTGCGAAAACAAAACAGTCACCAATGTTGTCCTGAAAAACAAGATTAAAATTGCTTTAAAGTATACTAGTCTCAAAATACTCTTCACGGTCCTGTAGAGCAAGTAATTAACTTCAATTCAGATGCTTGGCGACCTGGAAAATTATAATTTTCAATCGAGTGCTTAAACATTGAATCTACCCGTAACCCAGATCAAATTTGTTTAAACATATTTTTTAAATACATTACAATATTTTGTCCTGACAACTTTTTCAGGCTTTTAGATCATTCCTAAAAAAGGGCTTCCATTAACTTTTTTCTAAAGCTGGCCATTTTCGGGTTATAAGCGACTTGATGTCTGAAAATCCTCATAAATTGGCATATTCAGTGCTTAAAAACTCGATTAGAAATTATAGTTTTAGAGGTTGCCAATATCTAAATGAAAGCTTAACCTTGTTTTACCCAAGAGTATTATGAGATTAATTTATATTAAAATGATTTTTAATCTTGTCTGTTAGGTCAAAGTTGCCAAAATTTTGCTTCTTGCAGACTGTACCTGTGCTCAGATCTCACCTCATTCAAAGACATGCTCTGGCTTAGCAGTGACGTACGATGTACTACAATGCCCTAATCCATTTTGATAGTTGATTATAGGTGTACATTGCTTGTTCCTACAGTCAGCGGCAACAATTTCTCCTTCTCCAAACTTTTAAATTACAAAGCACGGCTTCTAGAACTTTAAAGTATTTCTACTTATAACAACAATATCATCTTCGTTATGTAACTATACTATTTAGTATTACTTGAAGTGAGTTTTACCTACGAACCAACTATAAAAAATTAAGAAAAGTCGCAATGGTTATTTATGAAGCGGGTTAAAAACCTAGCTGCTAATACTACTATCTCTAATCATATTAAACGAAAATTTACCCCTGGGTTGCGAAATAATTGTAAAGTCTGCTTTTATTGGTGCAAGTTATTCAAGCGAGTATTTAAAACATGGACGCATAAAATGGGTACACCAATGTTTGCGGGAAAACTTTTTATTTTACAACAAAGAATGAGAAAAAGTGTTTTTTGGGATTGAATCGAAAGTGTTGGCAGGACCGAAATAATTCTTCAGATAAGATTTTTAGGTATTGATGAGACGTAAACAGATCCCACTAATATTAAAAAAGTTATGGCCGAAAACCGAGGCTAAATCCAGATTTCGGCACTTGTTGCTAATGCGGCGATGGTTTCTCGCAGATATTTGGAATTCTTTAAATTCGCAGGATTCGTGCTTATAAATAACCCCAACAAAATTGGTCAAGTAGTTTTTGAGAATTTCTAATTGTTCATCCCACCTATTTTCCGGCTATCACTACTAGTTTATTGAGCAGCATATAGGGTTAGTTCAAAGGGCATTTTATAGCAAAATACACTAGTTTACTTTGCCGGTATGAATAGCAAACCATTCCGGAAGACAAATGTTATTTTTATGCAAAAAGAATGTTTTTTCTCCTAAACAATTTCAAACATTTCGTATTTTTGAGTAATTCGCAACAAAAGATGATAGACACATCCGCTTTGTTTTAAAATGTGTATAGTAATGTATGTTTTCCGAATATCGTAGCGCATTTGTTCAGTTACTCACAAATACGAAATGTTTGAATTTGCTTAGAAGAAAAAACGTAAGCTTTGTTTTTCGCATAAAAATAACACTTATCTTTCAGAATGGTTTGTGATTCATATCGGCAAGGTAAACACGTGTATTTTGCCATTGTTCTTTGAACGAACCCTGTACCTTTGCTCAATAAACTAGGAGCGATGGCCGATAAACAGGTGTTTTGGGATAAACAATTGGAAGTTCTCAAAAAAGTTCTTGACCAATATACTTCAATTTTATTTGTTGTTATTTAGAAGTATGAATCCTGCGGATTTAAAGAATTTCAAATATTTGCGTGAAATTATCGTCGCATTACCAATAAGTGTCAAAATCTGCATTTTACCTCGTTTTTCGGCCATAACATTTTTGCTGCTAGTCGGATCTTTTTAAAAAACGCGTTTTCTCATTCTTTGTTGTCAAATGCAGAGTTTTCCCACAAAAATTCGTGTACCCATTTTATGCGTCCATGTTTTAAATACCCCATTGAACTACTTGCATTGATAAACCCAGATTTTACAATTATTTCGGGAAAGTTTGCTAATATGATTAGACTAATAATACAAGTATCAGATATGTTTCAAATAAGGGCGCAGTTACTTAAGCTAATGTGAACTACTTCATTTTATAGTTGTATTGACATTTATTGAAAAAAGTTGGAGAAGTACAAAATGGAATAGCTCCTGTCTACACTCATACTCGTCATATGCTGTTGATCTGTTGCGATTAATTAAGCGACCAGTTGTCGGATTCGGATCGAAATACACGTGCTAGGGCGTATAAATTGTCCAGAGAAAAATGTCCTACAATTTATCTAATCGCTGTTGACCTCTATATTACACTTCCACAAGATAGAATGTTCGATAAAACCACGAGCGCTATCGCCAGTAGCCATCGGTCACTTTAGATTAAAGTCATAAACTACCTCAATGACATGTACCTACTTCAACCACCTATTCTCTCCATAATGGGACTTTCTTTGTACAGTATGTTGAAAAATGGCCACCATAGGTAGAGCTGATCAGCATCTCTGTCCTTGCTTGTCGACGCATCACTTGAGTTGTATAGCAGTGTAGTTCCATAATGTCAGTATTGTTTTACTAGTATCCATATGTGTAGGCGTTTTAAAAAAATTGTATAATAAATATGATTACATTTTTTATTCCGACGCAGTCGCGCAGGCAAACGCCTAAACGCCAGGACACTGAGGATCCCAAACAAATTGTGTTGATTTTTGAACTGCTTAAAGTTAGTAGAACTGAGAAAGGTCTCCTCTTGTAGATTGTTCCATAATCTCGACACTCTCGCGACAAAGGAGCGGTCGTATCGGCCAGTTCTGGATGTACGAAGTTCTGCACGGTTAGAATGGGAGGCCGAAGCCAGGCGGGTCTCTCTGGCAGGCACATCGCGCGGCACCTTCATGGAGGAAAGCACCAAGGAGCAAAGCCCGTTGTTATAGCGATAGAAGAGAGCTAGATCGCCGACGGCTTACCGGTGCGAAAGGGTGAGACTGTCTGTTAGGGAAGAGTCATCCTTCCTCTGGTCAGCATCGAGCATAAAGATGCAATAGGGGCGGCAGCACCCCAAACGAGTGAGCAATACGTGAGGCTAGGTCTTATCTGTGCCTTATATAGAGCGAGGAGCTCTTGTGAGGAAAAGTACATCTTAGCCCTACACAAATAGCCTAGCTTTTCCCAGCAGCTACTGCTATTGATGAGATGAGTGCGTGTAAGATCTTCTTCCTCGGTGATCTATCTGTACTTCGACCTGCCGAAATGGACGGCTCTTTGGCAGCACTCGGCCATTCATCAACACCAGATGAGCGCTAGCACGCATTTTGTTAGTCAAGATACAGTACTGTGTCTTGGAAACATTAAAATGTACAAGAAGTCGTTGTTAGTCTTCTTTCTACCGGCTCACTGGCAGAGATCGGCTTATTGCTCTGAACTCCTGCAGGTAGGGTGTGATCATCAGCGAAACTGTGAACTGTGTTGATCGTACAGGAAAGGAAGTCGTTAACATTTAAGAGGAACAGTGTGAGGACTAATACCTGGGAACACCCGCGTAGACGGATATCTTGCGGCCAGAGAGAAAGTTTCTCTGGGAGGTCATAAGATGGAAATTTGCATAACAGGGCAGCGTGACACCGCTGATCGAACGAGTATATCAAGAGTAACGACATGAGCCTTACTACAAAACTGCATGATTTGACTTCACAATTGAGTGACGTAAGCTAGGAGGTCCCCTGTGGATCGCTGGTGCCGGAAACCATACTGTCTGTCGCTAACCAAGCCTTGACGTTCGAGGTAGTCCAGAAGCTCGCGATTTATGCACCTCTCCATTACCTTACAGAGCTATTGGTCGAACGAGATATAGCGTAAATTTCCTTCTAAATTGTGAATTTCAGACCAACCAAAATTATTTCAGTATACGAAACCGATAAAAATTATTTTTTGGAGTTACAAAATTATTCGAATAGTCAAACCAATAATGCTTAAGCAATTTCCAATTTCCTTCTATACTTGAAACATAATTTTTTGCGCCAACACTGTCACGTAGTGTTCTGATTTGATTCTGACAGTGGCGTATATGAGACGAGTTCAGACGAGGGCATCCGTCATTTGGAGAAAGGTGTGAGTTAAAAAAATCATGGCCATGGTATGGCCGACTTTCATGATTAAGAGATCATTTGGAAATCGTAGATGGTCATAGTGTCAGGAATTAAACATCAAGTTTCGAGGAATTTATTTTTCAGATTCCTTTTCAACAACCTTTGAGTTTCAGGCCAACACTGAAATTTGAGTTTGCGGACACAGTAGTATCAACATTGTACTGCTCCATGAGACATCTAGCTAGTTACTGGTAGCTGATATAATACAGTCGATCCAGCAATCAGATGTACCTATCGATAATATTGCACCCACCTGCGTGGTATAGACCACTACCCAATAACACACAACATTCATGACTGGCGGATTTAGGGGGGAGGGGGTGGCCTCTAGACGTCTGATACTTGCTTTTGTAATCTAAAATCATTGTGTTACTTTCTGATACATCATGGCGACAGAGGCATACTAACTATAAAGTATAGCTATAGGAACTGAGCATTGCGATTGTCTGGTATCCTTTGCTATTCCGAACGCTGTCCCTCTTTGACATCACTTACGTTTACACCACAATTCGTACGATTTATACGTAAATACGAGTATTGTGACTATTGTGACAAATCTAAGTCTGGGTAATATATTAGCTATACAGATTGCACTTAAAAACTTATTTATGTTCTGTTTGTTGCTCAATAGTAATTTGAAAAGTATGTAAGGCTTGGCTGATTTTGTCCTGGGTTGGTGTTGCAGCGAAGCACTATGTTGGATGAACGTCTAAATTGGAATTAGACATTTATGAGACTTGTTTAGCGGTGCACCTGGGGCGTGTCTAGAAAATGCCTCGATCGATGCTCAAAGTCAATACCATACGTCCTGCATCTCTTCCCACGTATTTATGTTGCTATATTGAATTCGTTTAAATCACAGAGCTTCTGCACTACACGTGAATATGTACAGCCCACTGTCAAAATAATTACGATCTAACAGATACAGTTTTTTCCAAAGATTCCCAACATTTGTACATGCCGTAAATCTAAGTTCGACAACAAAAGCCTGAAGAACAACTGTAACATCTATACTGAATTTCAAAAAATAATTGGCTATACCTATTTATATTTTTATCACCTGTTGATATGTCTCGGGGTCCCTCAGAATGCTTTTTTTTCGGTTAACAGAGCAAAGAAGTTTTTTATGTTTTAATCTTTAATACTATTACAATAGGTAATTAGAAATGCCAGGTACTTATTTTGTTCTCATGTAATAAAATATTGCATTTCTGAGGATTTCTGAGCATTTTCCATGTTTTTTTCAAGCTGGCATTGACCAGATAGAATACAATGGATTTAAGGAGCAATAATGGGATACATTTTGGAAGTTCCACTGAGGTTGAAAAATTACCAGCCCCAAATATCGTTTGCACCCCCCCCTCTCCAGACGAAATTGTAAATCCGCCCTTGTAACTACTACTAGCATCTGAGGCTTCCTCCATGTTGATTTAAACATAAAATATTTTTTTAGGAAATAATCTAATGGCGGCCACGGCCGCATCAGCAGCTGCAATTTCCAAAGGCTACCAATCTAAGGTAGTGTCTACATGCATCCAAGGTGATGTCATCTGTATTGCAAAAAGTTATGCTATGCTAACTGCGCTCCTAGCGCGCAGGCTCGCGGGCGACAAGAATAACACTGACTTGGAGAAATTTCTGAAAGATTTTGAAAATCGGCACATAATTTTAGATGGGCTGAAAGAAGAAATTATGAAATTGAAGGATAATTTGTGTTTGATATTTGCAGGTAAGAGCTCGCAATCGATGTTGTGGTATTTATAACTTAACGTACAGCTGGTAGAGCTTCTGTAATGTGTTACAGGCTAGCAGACATCCGAATTTGTTTTTTCCAGATGAAGTTACTTTCAGTATCTGTTAACTTACCATTCCTCTATGCAAGATAAGGAGGGCCTAGAGTTATTTGAAAAACATTTTTTTGCATTGGAATAAGCTCATGTCCCGTTTTTTTTTTACAAGAAGAACACCAATCTCAGGTTGCCAATATTTATAAAATAATTTGGGATTTTAGGTGAACCAACAGTAGTAGTAGCAGGTACAGGAAAAGGGGGTAGAAATCAACAACTAGCACTTAATTTTGCTGTTGAACTCACCGAACACGACATTCCAAAAAGTGTAAAAATATCTTTTTTGAGTTGTGGCACAGATGGTATAGATGGTCCAACAGATGCTGCTGGTGCTATATCTCCAACTAATATAGGCTCTGATTGGAAAAAGTATGCCCAGGAATGTCTGGATAACAATGATGCATACAGATTCTTTCAGAAATGGGATAGTGGGGCTAATCTCGTTAAGATTGGACACACCGGTACAAATGTTATGGATATACACGTTTTAATTGTAGAACACTATCAATAAATATGTATAACCTCTGCAAGCCCCACCACACTCTACTATAATCAGTAACTGCATGGCAAAATTACTTGTGTACGTATGACTGTAAAAAATAGTGTCTGCTCAACCCCCGTCATATTTCTGCGCCTCATAACAAGCACTTATGTTCCTTTAAAAAACTCAATTTCATCTAATTGCTCATTTTACCTAAAGAGAGATATTGTTTGAGCATAATAGCTACCTTTTACATTCAGCAGCAAAACATATGAGAAAAGGTCGTCACACGAACACAATCTCGAATGTTCGTTGAAAAAAGGGACAGCTCAAGTTAGTACATTTTTTTTTAATTATTACATCAAAAACGTCGTAACCAAAAGCTCTTACTGACAATTTTTGAGCAGTAAACAATCTGGCTTCACGTTACTGATACTAGCTTTACGCAAAAAGGCCCGTGGCGCTCTAGTATTTGACTTGGCGCACGAACGCCACCGAAGTAAGTTCGATAACAATTTTGTCATGTTAATGTTACCTTACATTGGTAGTAGTATTGACTTATTTCTATATCCTAAACTATTTTCGAGAAGTATAACGTGAACTATTAAAGACAGATAAGTTTGTGGGAAGCGCAGGGGTATTATGTAAAAAACCTAAAAACATTGATAACTGAAGCATCATTACGTTTAGGCAACACGTACAACTACAAAACAAGTACACAACAAATGTCCATTAGCTAGTGCTAAGTTAACATCTCATAGAAAAACCTACATTACGTCAAAAAAACATATGTTATGTCAAAAGAACCGACCTAATGTCACTTATAAAGATACGTAATACCCCTGCCGGGCGTATGTTTATGTAAGCTCTTTGTCATATTTTAACGTATTCAATGCGCTTTTCATATCTCCTGAAAATCTTCTGTAATGTTAATTTCAGCAGGAAACTCACATAAAGTTAAGGCGTTTATATTATTGTTGTTTTGGAGCGCTACCGAGGAAGACAAAAAATTGGTAGTGTGTTTAGCCGGAAACTTCAGTGCGTTCTAAGTTCGCAGCTATTTGCATCAAATGGACACGACATTAAGTGCTACAGAATTTTCGTTCCGTGAAGGCTTCATTGATCATCTGTAACACGAAAGGACAAGCGAATTGGATCAGGCACGAAAACTGTTTATAGCCATATCAATAACCCCTATCCAGTTTCCATATATAAATATATGCAACAAAAGTAATCTGATGCAAAAGGCTACATGTTGTGATATACAAAGAGCTATCAGTACGAAAATTACCGCTTGTTGGAATTACGTCGTAAATTTTCAGCTGGCTGTCTATTTATATGCACCAGATTTAATTTACACCACGATTAATATTGAATTAATCGTTGCCCTCTTTGCCCGTCGCGCCGGCCGCCCATGCAATCGATAGTCACATGCGCATGAATTTGCAATGCTGCCACATACATGAAAGAAACTTTGACTACTATCCATGAATGAAAGACCATTGACTACAGACGTCAAAGTAAAAGCTGCTTTCAACTACTTCCAAGAAAACTACAGAACAATTTCCAAACATGATTTGGACACCCTCAAAAGCCCTAAATAAATCGATCTCGCGTGAGTTAAAATGAAGTTACGAGTATATTCTTAATTTTCTCGCTCTCTTTTCTGAAAATCTGCGATACAATTTTTAAAAACCTCAGATATATCACGAATTTGTCAACAACTTTAGGAAGATACTCTGATAACAGCATCATTCCAAGTTACACGAACACTTCCCTTCAAGGTTCAAGTAAGTGTATTTGAGACAAGAAACCAATGGAATTGTCATCAATACAGATTATTAGAATACAAATCCACACTAAACACCTATGCACTTCCGTTTCCTTCCTGTTATAGTATACAATTTATCGCTTAGACCTCCAATAATGCCATCTCTGAAGCAGATGTTACATCACATCAGAGCTAAACATTGATAGCTGAAGCATCATGACGTTTAGGCAACACGTACAGCTACAAAAGGAGCTCATAACAAGTCAACAACAGCTAGTGCTAAGTTGACATCTTGTAGAAAAACCTACGATATGTCACAAACAAGCCCATGAAATGCCAAAAAACGACAAAATTTCACTTTTAAAGATACGTAAAAAATAAATTACTGACTATGCTCTGAAATTAAAAAGAGACTATAATAAATATGGCTGCTTTCAGAATTATGGCATGTACGGATTTTTTCTCATTTATTTACTACAATCCAGGTCGAAATCTTAAATTTTATAGTTCAGCTATCCATATGAGCATATACAAGCATATAGGTGGTTACAGTGCGTTCTATGAGACACTAATATTTCCAAACTATATTTTAGGTAAATGAACAGCTGTGACAAACTTCATGAATGCCGCTACTGTATCTTATTCTATCTTGGATAATTTCTTGGACGCGGGAATATAGCAATAGGTTGGCTATCCTCAGAATAGAATATGTTAACCAATGACAATACATACACAAACGCTGTTCTTGCCTATCTTTCAATATACAATTTTAAAATCCGCGTTCTCCTGATTAAACGTGACAACGTAGCATTCATTCTCAAAGGCCCATCATCGTGCACGCCGTGTTGCCTACTCTCTTATCGCGCTCGGAGAAAACACCAGCAGAAACGCACAGAAACGTCAGTTTGCACTGTTTGCAGATAGCGGTGATATGCAGAGGGTGCGTTATGCTTCTTCCGATGTTCGCTAAATGATTTTCCGCTGAAATGATCGGTTTCGTGAAAAACACTCTCGTTTGCGTGGTTCTAGTGAGTGCGTTATGGTCCCTGGCAACTTCACAGCTGGTCATCAACGTGAGAAATCAGGTATAATATCGGTTTTACGACAATGTTTTGGTGGGGATACATAACCTAGAAATGTGTTGTTTTAGATGCATTTTAGGCTTTTGGCCTTGTTATTTAAGGTTCTAATAAGGATGGGATCTTATTAATGTATATAACGCTATACATTCAATTTTCAGCAACATCTGAGCAGTAGCACAAGTTATCTAAGCGGATTGTATTTTATTTGTTGTTAAATTGTAATGAACTATTTGTTTCTTGTACGCACGAAAAGAGGATTTTTCAGCATATCATTCGGCTGTGATAGTTTGTGTATGGCACCGAAACCTATGTTTTCTGTTCCATAACAAAGTGCAAAGCTTGAAAATCGGCTATCCAGAAAGAAGCGGTCAAAATATCCATCAAGATAATATGTTTTAATGAAGGTATTTCTTTATAATCATATTTAAAACTATTGCATCTAGTTAAGGCAGATGATTTTTAGGCTGTAAAATATGTCAGTAAAACAGTGAATATATACTGAAATGTTGGTTCTGACTTACGGTGCTTTTTTTCGTCATCCCAGTGGCGAATTTAGAGGGAGTGCGCGCCACCTCCCACACGCATAAGTTTGCGATTTTTTTCAAGAAACTTGTATCTATGTATTGCTGTATCTTTGGGTTAAAATTACCTTATTAGACTAGATGTACCACCCTCCGCTGTTCAATTGCCTTAAGGGCTCTCAGAAAGGCTGTTTAAGTGCTTAAGCTCTTGATCTGCTCTTTAACTTTTAATCGCAGATCACCTTCACCCTGCAGACAAAAATCTTCCTGATAGTGAATGCAGTGACCATCGTTGGCTGGGGGGAGGGGGAGGGGGGCCTCTAGATAGATCCCTAAATCCTTGCCTCACGGAATTTATTTTCTGATTCATCCTTACTTTTTTAAAATTGATCGTCCGTAACACACATGTTCCGGAATATTTTATGCTTTGAGATTTGCTGTTACGTCCTATGTCTCCTAAAATTAGTCTTTCTGAAGCATCAACTGGGTCACCAGAAGTCAACAATTCCTGGGATGGATACCACAAGCTGTTGAGGCCACCCTGTGTGGATAAAAATGGTGATCGCTAATTTTCTCAGTCATTCCATCTATGCTTGCTCTTTTTCACGCGGTACTTTGAGCCCAAAGGATCTTCAAAGAGAAAATGATCATGCGGAGAATGGTATGTAACAAAAAATAGGAAAATAATGGACAAAATCGGCAAAAAGAATAAAAGTGGATTCGAGCAGAAAATAGGCTAGGTAACCCGAGCGATACGTATTTCTGCTAGTTGGCTTCATCAGGCCCGAAATGAGTGCACATATGCAACTACAAAAGTAGATACACATGCCCATACATCCTCATACGGGTGTAACCTGAGGAAACGAAGCTGGAGAGGGAAAAAATTACACACGAAGTCCACAACAAGAGCCAACCTACACAGTAGTATAAAATGGTTAGAAGATGTCGAATTTTCAAGGCGACATCTAACCACAACCACGCGGCCGGTTATAGCCACTTGCTCTGGTACTTTGAGCCCAAAGGATCTAGAAAGAGAAAATGATCATGCGGAGAAAAGTATATATATAACAAAAAATAGGAAAATAATGGCCTAGTCATGTTTGACATATTTGATAAAAAAATCCAGCATTATGAAATTGATACATAAATACTATATTTTAGCGTCAGAATGGCAGTTGAAGCTTCCACGATGGCGGCCAAGGTTTTTTGAAATGGTATGGGGGTTTGTGGGTTGTGAGATACCTAACAGTGAAGCTCCTTATAAGTAGGTACTTCAATATAAAATCACTATCATTCAAAATGACGAGCTGGCAGGATGTAACATTGACTGTTTTTTTATATCCCGACAACTAGTCATCAAAATGCATGTTATAAGATCAATATTTTTCTCCTGGAATGGAAGGGCCTATCAAAATATGGAATAAAATATCGAACACTCCACCTAAAAAAATTGTCAAAATCTGTCATGTTTTTAAATCTGGATGTCCCATATTTTATCAAAATAAGACCACCAAGTGCTTATTTCGATAGACCATATCTGCCATCACAAGCCAGAACGCAGTAAGTGCAAAGAATGCGAAAATGACATATTGTCATTATAATATAAAAGGCGCGTAGAAGAAGCATATTTCGATGATAAAATACAGCTATGTCATGATAAATAACGAAAATCTAAAATTTACCGTTTTTGCCAAAGCAATGGCTCTAGCAGATACTATAAGACATAGTAAAGTTGGAAGGATACTGTACAAAATTGTGTTTGTTTGTTTAAGATTTTTTAAGTATGATTGCTACAATTACATTCTTTTTAAAAAACTACAACAATTACATAAAATACAAATATTCAGAAAAACAAAACTTGCATCTCTAAGAATTTCCGCTGTCCAT